GGACAAATAACTCGCAATATATTTCGCGCTATTAACGCGTAAGCGGAGAATTAATCCGTCTTAAAATCGTTCCAAATTGGTTGAAAGAAGCTTATTTGCCATAATTGAATTGTTACAAGGAGCGAAATCTTTCCTTTTGTACTTTATGGCGTGTGGGGGATGATTTTCATTTAAAAAATTCAAATTCATTTCTATTTTTTGATGTTATTACTGCTCCATAAAACCTTAAAAGGCAGTCGGAACATTCAGGGCTTTGCCTTGATACGAGCAGTCTTGTTTTTGTTTATGTTAAACCTATGTCACAGTTCTGAATTTGCGAACTCCGCTGTAAAATGCTTGAGAAAAACAGATGTGCTATGCAATTTCATGCGTGCTGTGTTTAAAGATTGAAATTCACAATAAAAAAAGTGTTTGAATAAGTTTTGAAAAAATGCTTGTGGAGCAAAAATAAAAGAATTTGATGCGCTTTTGATAATGTTGAAAACTTTTCTTCTTTTTGGTTGAATTGGACGAAACTTGAATAATTTGAATTCGATAAAGTTTTGATTATTAAGAAATATTTAGACCATTTATCCACGAGGGAAAGGACCAACATAGGAGCTGTACAGCTCATCACGGCAAACCGCTGTTGTGCCCCTGCTTAAGAATAACATGCAATTTTTTGGTTATTTTTCTGGGCTGGGTAATTTCAAGCAACAAGCACGGATAATGGTGGGCCTCGATCATCCGACCTTTCGATTGAGAGGCGGAGACGTAACTACTTCACCACCGCTCCCAAATAGTTTGATCTTTGGCTACAAGATATAAAAAAAATAACGATGCTATAAAATAAGATTGTAATTGTTCCGACTTTCGATACGAAAGTAACGGAATATTTGTGCTCAGGGTGGGTTTTTTTCTTCAGACAAATTTCGATTTTTTAATTAGCCATTTTTGACGGAATTTTTTTATATCCTTCGAAAAGTATTGTTGTCCTGAGCTCACATTTGAAAAGATATTTCACTTGTGATCATTTTTCGTAAAGTAATGGTGGTATAAAGATTGCCATTTTGGCCAATTTGGGACAATTAGCGCGCGATACATTTCGCGCTAATAACGCGTAAGCAGATAGTTAATCCGTCTTAGAAATTGTTCCAAATTGGTCGAAACAAGCTTGTTTGCCATAATTGAATTGTTACAAGGAGCGAAATCTTTCCTTTTGTACTTTATGGCGTGTGGGGGATGATTTTCATTAAAAAAATTCAAATTAAAAAAAATTGTTTTTGTTTTATTGTTCCGACTTTCGATACGAAAGTAACGGAATATTTGTGCTCGGGTGGGTTTTTTTTTCAGACAAATTTCGACTTTTTAACTAGCCATTTTTGACGGAATTTTTTATATCATTCGAAAACTATTGTTGTTCTGAGCTCAAATTTGAAAAGATATTTCACCTGTGATCATTTTTCGTAAATTTATGGGGGTTTAAATATTGCCATTTTGGTCAATTTGGGACAATTAACGCGCGATATATTTTCATTTTGTGTTATTACATTTAATTTTTTAATGTTATTACTGCTCCATAAACCTTAAAAGGGAGTCGGAACCTTCAGGGCTTCGCCCTGATACGAGCAGTCTTGTTTAATTTAGATCGATCAGTGTTCTCAAAGACCGCATTTTATGAATTTGAGAAATAATTGTTAAAAGATCACAAGATTTTACTGAGGGTTTTACAAAGTTTGTTAGGGTATTTGTACAGTTAAGTGCATTTGAAAACTGCAAAAATGAATTGACAAGATTACGGGCGGATCTAAAAAGGTAAAAATGCCGTTTTTGGGCACTTTCTGTAAAGTGTTCACCAAAAAATTGCTTTTTTATGCAGGCTCTCCTTTAAATTTTGTTTGATTTGGCGTCCAAAACGCCTGTAGGAAAACTTTTAGGCTTGATTGTTTTAAAATAAAGATCATTGATTTGTACCGTTCCGAAGGGAGACTTTTGAATGGTCAGTGGGATGAATCCCTGATTGGCGAAACTGAGTGTTATTTAAATAAACAATTCGCACGCAACAGTGAAACGCGACTCAAACATTATGAATAAAAAAGAGGCAAATAAACCTGAATATGACATTTTACGTTTTTGGTCATTGAGTGTCTTTTCAAATTTTTGAAACATTCTTCCACAATTTTATTATCGACATTTAATAACTTTTTTTTTGTTCGTCAAATTGCAACGTCAGGCCTAAGTGTGGTATTTGATTAATTAAAAAATGTAATAAAACAAGGACAGTCGGTTGCTGTGCTAGTAGCACAGAATGTTCCGACCATATTATTTAAAAAACTACAGTTTTTTTTAATTGAATGTAATTTTGTTTGTGCGTGGGTTGATAAACAGATTAGACGAAAGCCTTAAGTTTAAATTTATTCAACACTTCTCAAAAAGTTGGCAAGATGGATAACACTTTTAGTCGAAAAATTATTCGTAAGAAAAAAAGGAAAAAACTTTAAAAAAAATTTTGACAATTTTCCAAAAAAAAATTAAAAAAATTTTGTACAGATTTTTCAAATTTTTTGAATCCCAAAATGGCGCAAAAACAACAAAAACTAAATTAACTAGAGCAAATTTAAATTTCAAGGGCTTGAATAGGCTTATCCTTCTTCTATAAAAACCAATTATACGCCTGCTCGTTGATTTTCGTCGCTCGAAATTAGACGAAAGACCAAAAAATTCAAATTGGGTTTTCTCGACGCTAGAAAATTTTTTGGGCATTTTTTCTGAAGTCATTTGAATCACCACTGAAAAGGCTTGAATATGATACGTCATTCAACCCAGTCCGATGATTATTTGCGGCACCTGATTTTGCGTTGAAAACCGAAAAAAAAACAAAAAAACTAAAACTAAAACTTTCAATGGTCGGAACAAAAATCCTATTTGTTCAAAAGTTGTTTTTAGGTCGAGACAGATGTTCGGGGCGACGGCATAATTGCGAAAATAGCCCGAAAACTGGCTTCACTTTTTGACAGCAACACTAAAGTATCCCAGCACCTCTCCACTCTCCAATGTCTTCCCGAAGTCTCATTCACTGAAGACACTTTCCTCAAGCTGTTTGTCGCTCTATGTTTGGGCCAGGGAGGTCTTTTCTGTTATTCGAAAAAAGCTGGGATCTACTTAACAATCCCTCCCTCCCTCAAGAAAAGGGGGAAGACTTTTAAAAGTATATTAAGTTGGTCGAAATTTTGACCAATTAGAATGCAGCAAAATTCGAATTCTCAATACAATTCTAGTGCTAATTTACTGTATTTATTTGTAGGGGTGGAGATTGTTTTGTAGATATAAAAGTGGGAGAGAGATCGTTAAGTAGATCCAAAAGCAGTGAAATCACTTTTATGATAAATTTAAATTACTGCCAATTAAGTAGCGTTTTTTTTGGAATTCTTAATCTAATTCAGGGGCGGATTAAGGTGGGGGGCGGCGGTAAAGGGGGTAGCAGACGATTCGCTGCCGGCCAAAGGGATTCGACCCCCTGCCGACCCAATATCAATTTTTGGCTGACGGACCCTAAAATTTTTCTAAGGGCGCCTTAGGCGCCAATATATCACTAATTTTAAGGGGGGAGGGCGCGCCAAAAAAAAACACTTTTTTTTGTAAACATTTTCCAAAAAAAACCTAAAAACGCCTTTTTTGCCTGTTTTTTCAAAATTTTGCCTGCGGGGCAGAAAGTTTGTCCAAAAAAGGGGTTTTTTTTTAGTGCTTTTGGGAGAGTTCGGAAAATCAATTTGGTCGACCTAAAAAAAAGGTGGACAAAATTTTGAATTTTTTTGAACTATACCCCCCCCCCCGAAAATCCTAGATCCGCCCGTGATCTAATCAACAATTTATGCAGAAGAGTTGATGTTTTTAGTAGAGTCTGAAAGTTGAATTATAATATATAATTCTGATTGGTTCAAAACCGACAGAAACAGCAATTATTAAAGATTATAAAGAATTTTTTGGCCTGCTGAACAGAAAAACAGAAAAACCTGACCAGGGTTTGTTGCACTATTCGAGGATATTTGTGTCGAGATCTTTTCATCTGATTGCGGGCATGTATTACTACAGAAGAAGCAAAGATAGGACTTTGTACTTGTACAATTCATTTTTGAAGTTAGTTTTAGTTTTTTTTCGCGAAGAAATTTAAAGTATGTTTGATAAATACTAGTCGTGAATACTAGTATTACAGTATGAAGAAAACACCAATTCGTTCTATAAATTTTGTGCAAGTGCACAGACGTTTTGGAATCTATGGGCCACACTATGGCAATTGTATGACTAGCTGTTTTGTCAATCCGGAAAATTGACCTAATCTGCAGCTTTTGGAAAAAATTGCTCGAATGATACAACAAAAATTCCTTACCTATAAGCAAAACTAACATAATTTGCGGTATTTAAACTAAAAAAATTATGTTGAAAAAAGTTAAGATAATGGTTTAAAAACGGCACTTGAAAAAATTTAATAGAATTTTGCTTTCAGAGATCGAGTGCGAAAGTTTGAAACCTCCAAAACTTCTCTAGTTTTACAATTATGCGCAAATATCGAGCAGAAAACTGTTCCAATTGACCTGTTAAGCTACCTTTCTCAGAAGATGCAAAACTGTTTCAAAGCACCCAAAAAGTTCAAAATTTCATCGAAGCTCAAAGACTGTGACTTCTGCGGTGAAAATGATTGTCTGGTTTTCAAAACGTGTGGAATCTGTGACTATAACGTTTGTCATGTTTGTTTTGAGTTAAGCACAGGAAGTTGCATCAAATGTAAAATGGTTAAAACACTGCGAGAAACCAGCGAAGGGCAATGCAAAAAGTGCCGAAGATTTTTGGTGACGGACCAAGAGATGGTTAAGTGTCGCTCAAAATCGCGCAAGAAGGGCAACAAAAACTATCAAGTATTTTGTGACTCATGCTTCGATAAAAAACGATTTGTTAAAATATGATTTAATAAAATCTCAAAATTAAGTCTAAAAGCTTAAATCAATTTTGTTTTGATTGATGGCTTCAATGTAAGGAGTAACTTTCGGGGTTAGAAACAAAGAAACTAGAAGGATTTCGGTTGCCGAAAACCCTACTAAATTTTATTTAAAAATTTTTTGTGTACGTCAATTTAACCAATTTATAGGCGCACCGATCTGCGAACCTTAAAAAAATCAGTAAACTTAAAGTTCCGCAAAGGGATTGCGTAGTACTGGAACCCTTCCGTCAGCAAGCATTTCTTTTTCCTCTTTTTCGCCCAAATTGAACAAAAGCGCAGCTGCTAAACAGTTTATTTGACCTTTGCTCAAGCCAAAACTTTTGCCCAAGTCCATTTTTTCCCACTCTGAATCATTTACATTGAACCGATTGTCGATCAGTCGGGGGTACAACTTGGAAATTTCCATGTGTGCGTCCTTCTGCACGACTGCGATTCGTTTTTTATTCGTCGAAAACCGACAGTCGAGAAGACTTAAGTTGAGGAACGACAGACACTGCGCGTCGGATACGAATGCGTCGTCTAAAATGATGAGAATGACTTCAGACGATTCGATGATTCGGCTCAGCTCGTGTTCTTGGAAGTCGGGCTGACAGCTCATTTTTATCTCTGAGTTATTTCTGAACAATTTCCCTGCTAGCCTGAAATAACATAACTTACATTAGCAGAATATTGATTAAATTTAAAATAACAAAAAAACCCGAAGTCAAGATTTCTTTTTGCATACAAAAAATTTCGATTTCAAGTCTCAAAGTTTTAAATTTTTCGATAAACGCATTTTTATTCAAGGGTGGTTTTAAAGTAGTAATGGTAAGCCTATTAGTGTTTTTTACGAAGCCGATTTTCATCAGCACACAGTAAAAATTTTCAGTACGATCCTAACATTCCCATCTCATAATTTTTTTTTCATAAGTGAAGAAAAGTTGGAGTGTGTGAATTTCTCTAATTCAAATTGATCATGTTGTAAATCAATATTGCTGATACACTGATCAAAGAAAATCAAAACTCAAATTAAAAAGACAACCAAAACTATATGACGCTGAGAGATCTTCCCATTGAACTTATTGATGAAAAACTATCAGTTTTTGAACTGTTTTTCAGAACTTGACACTGAGGCAAAGTTGTACTTTGAAAAAAACACAACCAAAAAAACGGCAAGCGGGATCTCTTAAACGAATTAACGCGGATATAGATACAGCTAATCGAAATTACCAAATAGAAGCTAAGCTGCTTCAAGAAATTGAACACAAGAAGTTTACGTAGGTTAAAAACTTTTGAAACTAAAAAAAAACAAGACTGCTCGTATCAGGGCAAAGCCCTGAATTTTCTGACTGCCCTTTTCTGAAGGTCCATCGAGTAGTGTTTACTTTCTTTAGAAAAAATTGGAAGCATTTTCAAAAAAACTTCAGATTTTGTTTGTGAAAATCATCTTCCCACACGCAATGTAAGTACAAAATGATATTTTTCGCATTAGCAAAGATTTACATAGATCAAATATCATGCTTCATTTCAATTTGGAACAATTTAGAAAAACGCAGTGAATCTCCTCTTACTCATTAACAGCACAAAATATATAGCGCGTTAATTATCTAAAACTGGTCAAAATGGCACTCTTTAAACGCCCATAACTTTACGGTAAAATATCACAGGTGAAATTTTTTTTTTTTTTGCAAAACCAAAACTGCTCTTCTATACCTCATCCAAAAAATCGATAGTAGTGCTTAAAAGAAACTTAACTATTGCATTTCTCGAATGCGTTGGAACAAAGTTTTCTACTGCAAATACAAGCTCTGCGTTAAATTTGTTGTCAGGTTTTTCGTTTTCCCACAAATTTCAAGTTTTACAAAAAAAATCTATACACCGTTTTAAAACATTCTTCTAGAAGAATGGTAGAAAACACTGCAGATTTTAGTGTTTCAAAACTTTTTAACAAGGATAAAATTTTTATCCTGAAGCGGAAACAAGACTGCTCGTGTCAGAGTGAAGCCCTGAATCTTGCGACTGCCTTTCAAGGCCTATGAAGCAAAGTTTAATTTAAAAATATTGATGAGTTTTTCAAAAAAAAATATATAAAAGAATTGAAAAAATTTTAAAATTTTTTAAAAACTCATCCTACCACACGCCACATAAAAATCAAAGTGATGAAATTCAACCTTAGTAACATTGCATTTAGCTTATTTAAATAATTTGGGTTGATTGCTTCGACGCAATAAATTACCGCTTACTAAAAAAAAAAAAGACTGCTCGTATCAGGGCAAAGCCCTGAATTTTCTGACTGCCCTTTTCTGAAGGTCCATCGAGTAGTGTTTACTTTCTTTAGAAAAAATTGGAAGCATTTTCAAAAAAACTTCAGATTTTGTTTGTGAAAATCATCTTCCCACACGCAATGTAAGTACAAAATGATATTTTTCGCATTAGCAAAGATTTACATAGATCAAATAGCATGCTTCATTTCAATTTGGAACAATTTAGAAAAACGCAGTGAATCTCCTCTTACTCATTAACAGCACAAAATATATAGCGCGTTAATTATCTAAAACTGGTCAAAATGGCACTCTTTAAACGCCCATAACTTTACGGTAAAATATCACAGGTGAAATTTTTTTTTTTGCAAAATCAAAACTGCTCTTCTATACCTCATCCAAAAAATCGATAGTAGTGCTTAAAAGAAACTTAACTATTGCATTTCTCGAATGCGTTGGAACAAAGTTTTCTACTGCAAATACAAGCTCTGCGTTAAATTTGTTGTCAGGTTTTTCGTTTTCCCACAAATTTCAAGTTTTACAAAAAAAATCTATACACCGTTTTAAAACATTCTTCTAGAAGAATGGTAGAAAACACTGCAGATTTTAGTGTTTCAAAACTTTTTAACAAGGATAAAATTTTTATCCTGAAGCGGAAACAAGACTGCTCGTGTCAGAGTGAAGCCCTGAATCTTGCGACTGCCTTTCAAGGCCTATGAAGCAAAGTTTAATTTAAAAATATTGATGAGTTTTTCAAAAAAAAAATATATAAAAGAATTGAAAAAATTTTAAAATTTTTTAAAAACTAATCCTACCACACGCCACATAAAACTCAAAGTGATGAAATTCAACCTTAGTAACATTGCATTTAGCTTATTTAACTAATTTGGGTTGATTGCTTCGACGCAATAAATTACCGCTTACGCGTTAATAGCAATAATTATATCGCGCTTGAATTGTCCAAAATTCGCAATCTTTAAACCCTAAAGTTTTACAAAAATGATCACAGGGAAAATATCAACTTAGGACAACATCAACGTTTAGCTGATACAAAAAATAATAGTCAAAACTGGCAATTTAAAAATATCAAAATTTGTCTGGTGAAAAAAACACCGAGAACAAATATTCCGTCACTAAAAACTTTTTGATTTAAAATTTAAAAATTATCAAAAAAAACAAATAAGGCTAATCTTTTCTAATTTTTCTTCAATTTCCCTCTGGACCTTTATGTGAACTACAAAGGGCTGTCTTTAGTTTCTTGTATTCTAATAACATGACTTGCTTCAATTCCATTTGAAACGCATTAACCCGCCGCCTACGCGTGTTAAATTAACGCAAAATATCGCGCATTAATTCTTCAAAATTGGCCAAATTAGCAATTTTCAAATCTCCATAACTTTAAAAAAAGACCACAGGTAAAAAATTTTTCATATTTGAGCTCAGAAAACAATAGTTTTCAGATGGTGTAGAAAAAATTCGTTAAAAGGGCTTAGTTAAAAAGTCGAAAGTTCACTGAAAGAATTCGGCTTTTTCAGCAAAAGCCGGAATAACAATTTGAAAATGAGGCGAAGCAGCAAAATAAAGCCAAAATAAGCAGAACCAAAATGCAAAACGCAAGAAATTACAGAAAATTGCCTTGAAGGAAAATCACTATTTTTCAAACCTTTCGCCTAAATGGTTTGAAAAATACCATCAATTTCGTTTGCAGTTTTATTGTAGTATTGCACTCATAACGGGAAACACAATGATATCATTTTTTCATCAGCTAAACTTAATAAAAAAAATTCATATAAATGTCAATTTTTGTATTTGAAGCCAAGTTTTTCATTGCTGAGGGAAGTACTAATAAGTAAAGCTCATTGCATCTCAGTTGGATTTTTATGGTAAATTTTCTCAAATGGGTTAAAAACACAGAAGACTAAAATGTGTTTTTTAAAATGTAAATTTCCTCAGACACGATTTTACTTTCCAAACAGTTGCCGATGAGGCAGTGCATTTATGTCTGTTTATATTGTAAGACGGCAACCAAAAAAGGCATTAAATTTCTGTCTTTCTATAGATTTAAAAAATATGCTTTAAAACATCGGGGCTGCGGAGCAAAAAATTTGAAACTGCCTAAATTGCTGAATTCGGAAAAAATATATCTAAAAGCAAGCATATAACTATTGAAAACTTTGCGATCTGTTTTTTTTTCTAGTTTTTACTTTCAAACCCGTTTTTAGAGACAGTCGTACTAACTGATATAACCGGTCGCTAGCTGCCTTTTGCTCAAAACAATAACACTCTCGTTAATTTTGAAGCGTTCCCTTACTTCAAAGAAATATTCGTAATTTAAATCTAAATAGTTGAGTCTTAAGGCAAAATCTGCAGTATACCATTTACCATTTCTGAAAAAATATATAAATATTCAAGCAAATATGTTTCCCTTTTTTTAAAGTCAGAAAGTAATTTGGTCCCTTTATTCCTAGCACGGGATTTTCCGGCACACAACCAAGTCTTTGTTACCAAAACTAAATATTTTAAATATAATTTCAAAAGTCTCAAAAATCCATTTTTAAATTTTAATCCTGATGTTTTTATTTAAAGTTGATTTCTTGAAAAAACAAAATGAGAACTAAGTTGATGCTTATTGCAAACTTTTGATTGTAGAAGCCTGAAAAAGCCCTTTACAAGTACAAAAATTTCAAAAAGAGGAGCCAAATCTTAATTCTGATAGCGTAAAGGTTGAAAGCGGCAAAATCATACTGAGCAGATTAGGTTCATTAAACGTGAAATAAAAATTTTTTGTGTTATATGCTGTTTAGTTAACTACGACAAATTATTATTTCGTTGGGATTTCAAAAATAGGTTTTACTGAAAGATAAACGAATAACAATTTCTTTTAATTAGTTTTCTAATAACCTCGAAAAGAATATAAGCAAAATTAACATATGTAAATTAAAAGCATACTTTTATCCCCAGAAAAACTCGTCATCACTTTCGAGATATTTGGAAAAAAACGAGAAAAAAGGAAACTGATAGGTGTTTTCATTGCATTCTTCGACACACTAAATTGTTATTTCTGATAGCGAAAAGGTTGAAAGCGGCAAGAAAAAGTGCAGATTAGATTCATAAGACATGAAATAGAAATTTTGGATCAACCGTTCAATCTTCGCCCCATAAGTGACCTACCGCAGAATTTCCTCCCCAAGCATGTAATCATTTCGAAAAAAACACTCTCTAAAAATTGTACATTTCAAACAAACGCGCAAAATAAGTGGCTTTTTACATCATTTATGCTAGATTACATTTGTATATGCTGGTAATTTCACAAATGAATGTTTTAATTCATTTTTCTGTAATAAAACCGTTAATTTTTAACTTATATGGGCTATGATATTGTTGGCTTATGAAATATTCATAATTTATCCCCTCTAGATCGATTAAAGAGGAAAATCGTACGGTTGATCCGATTATTTCTGTGATATAGGCTCTTCAGTTAACTACGACAAACTTTTTATTCCGCTGGGAGCTCGAAACTCAGTTTTAACTCTGAAAGAAAAACGAATAAAAATTTTTAAATTTAATTTAATGATATCCTGGAGCAGAATATAAGCAACCCTGAACATATCCAATTTAAAAGCATATTTTTCATCCCCAGAAAAACTCGTCATCACATCCAAAACTATTTGGAAAAAAAACGAGAAAAAATGAACCTGATAGGTGTTTGCATTGCATTCTACGACACACTAATTTTTTTCTTATAGCGAAACGGTTTAAAGCGGCAAAATCAGATTAAGCAGATTAGATTCATGAGACATGAAATAAAATTTTTTCGTGATATATGCTCTTCAGTTAACTACGATAAATTTTTATTACGCTGGGAGCTCAAAACTCAATTTTACTTCTGAAAGAAAAACTATTAACAATTTCTTTTTTATAAATTTTCTAATATCCTCGAGCAGAATATAATCAACGAAGCAACGTTCAACATATGTAAATTAAAAGCATTTTTTTCATCCCCAGAAAAACTCGTCATCACTTCCGAAACTATTTGGAAAAACACGAGAAAACTGAACCTGATAGTTGTTTTCATTGCATTATACGTTACACTTTTTTTTTCGATAATGAAAAAGCTCGTTGCCAAATTTTAGAGAAAATATAAGCAGCGCACTCGAAAAATGCTATTTTTTTGTTAAAGTTTTCCTAAAAGCGCCCAAAATTGGGGACAATCAGGGTATTGTTAAGGTTTTTGAGAGGGCGCGAAAAATCAACTTGGTCAACCTCAAAAAAGTCGACAAAATTCTTTGAAAATCCTCCGCCTCACGAAAATCCTAGATCCGTACCTGCTTTCACTATTAAAATAGTAGTAACTTTGTAACGGATGACCTTACCCCAATTGAAATAGCGGAAGGGGTAGTTAAAGAGATCCTTAAACCTTATTGAAATGAAATTCTTAGTACTGAGGCATATGGGAAAACATTAGAAAATTATCATTGATGTGCTTATTATTAATCGGAGATCCTAATTTCATTTTTATCCAGCGTTTTTTTAAGAACTACACCAAAAAAATTAACTTACAATTTGATAGCTTTGGTAAACTCTTCGCTTTTCGACGATGTCAAAACTGCCACGCTTCTGTACTTTGCTTTTATTTGATTTTTAGCGTCCGTTTTTCCTTTCAAACTTTTGTTGTCTTTGGTCCACTTGTCGACAAACTTTTTTCTAGAACTTTCCAGAATAGTTTCGAAGTTTCCCTCTTTCCTCCAGGAGAGACAACCAGCGAATAACGAGTCGTCAACCTTGACCTTTCCTTTCAAGAGGTCAAATGCAGTCTTGCAGTAGTCGGGAGCTTTGTGGCCAAGGGGAAAACTTTTCACTCTCTCGTATTCTGAAGGTATTTTCAGGGCCTCAGATGCTCTGAGAGGTATGAGATATTTTTTAGATTTGGCTGAAACACAGCACCTATTGAAATTGTATAACAAAAAGATAACTAACGTTCCGACTTCGAAAAAGCTTCAAGGATTTTTTAAAGCCGACAAAACTTAAGAACGGAAGGTTCGGCGAATGTAGGGTCAAAAAGCATCACGTTTAGATTTCAAAGGTTCCGAAGTCTTCAGAAACCCTAAATTGACTATATTTGGCTAAATTTTACGCGCCGTTTTTGTTGTTTTTGAGCTTTTTTGGATAGTCATGGCGTTTTTTGGCGTGCTCAAATTTGACCAAAAACGTTTTAAAAAACTTTTCTGTTCTTCAGCCCAATACATTCGTCGTAAAATAATACCATTTTCTGTTCTTCAGCCCAATACATTCGTCGTAAAATAATACCAAGTCGGGGAACTTAAAAAAAAATAAATTTTTGGAAATCAGAAATGAAACAGTAATCGCAACCCCAGCCCCCTGAACCCCCCCCCCCTCTTCACTTCATCTCCGACCCCCCCCCCCCACTGGTTGCTTCTCTCGAATCCTGTTAAGTATAAACAAACTTGCAATAATCATGCCATACCTGCCAAAACCGATGCTATAGCCAGGTGAAGCTCCTCTCTGCAAACAGCTGAATCAAAATACTCGTCCGAGAACACTGCAAATATGACTATGGATCTCTCCAGTGACTCATAAATGGCCTGCTGCCACTGGAACCCATGTTGCAGCTCCTCACTGTCCACGAACACCACCAGAGAATCATCCAGTTGCTCTCGGATAGTATCCATGACGTCTTTGTTTTTGTGGCAGTATGAAATGAAGACGTCGTAGTCTGGTACTGATGATGTTTTGGACGCATCTTTGGAGTCTAGGCCAGCTGTTACCTTCAATCAGAGATGACCATATAAGGAAAAAAAACATTTAAGCATGTTTTGTTCACAATTCTTAAAATAATAAATAGCCAAGTAATGCAAAGTACTTCATCTATTATTGTCTACGCATTACGGAAAACTTCGCGCCGAGAACGGTGAAAAAAGTTAAATTTTGACCCAAACCAGAATTTCAGCTTTGTTTCTGCTAACTATGATAAATGTTTTATTTGAAACTGTTCACTATTGCGCATAAAATAGTCAATGACAAGGCAAATAAGTTCATATAAAGCATGAAAACGACAAGATATTTGGACGAATTTTTTTCCTGGCTATCACAGGTATATAAACTACAATATGTTGAGGCAGTTGTGAAACTCTGCACTTTAAAGCCAACCATTTAAAAAATTGACAACCTGTGGGACCATCTTGTTGAAATAGCAAAATTTGAAAACTTACCAACAGAAAGTTACGCACAATAGATGTATTTCTCGACTCCTGCTCTAATTAAAACTCCCCGCTCCAAAATTTTAAAACCTGGCACCAAACTTCAACAATATTATGGCTCATAAAATATTCTCAATTGAATTGAGGCAAGCTTTTTGTTCAAAATAAAGTGTTAATATAGATGAGTAATTTATTACTTTGTACGAATCAATATGTAGAAGTTTTGCAAAATGAAAATTTTAAAATTTTTGTTTTTGCATTTCATCATTTGGAACAAAAAAAACTATTTCAGATTCATTCAAGGGCAGTCAAAAAATTCATGGATAAATGCTAAAAAAGAACTCGCGTGTCGGCATCTTGGCATAAATTGCAAAAAAATGATATAATTGAACGAAACAGATGAACTTTTTTCCGTTATAACCCTTCTCCCCCTTATTTTGCAATTGCTGACACATAAACTTCCTTCGGTAAAAAACTCTTTTGCTTTGAAAAAAATAGATGGTTTAAATGTTGAAAAGAATTTAAAATGAAAAACAATTATAAATTATAACGCGAAAGCGCCAATGAAGAAATTATTAGCTTCAGAAGCAGTTTTCGCAATTTTTGAAGTTAAGATTATATTAGAATCCAAAATTTCGACTCAAAAATAATTTATTTTTGGCTCGAATGGTTTGATCTAAAATATCTCAAAAATTGCTGGACAAACTTTGCATAATTAAGGCCGAAACGATCATCTTACTAAACTTTCCCAAAAACAATGAAGAAACTTGTTATCTCGAATTAAAAGGCGTATCTCTTAAAGCTCTTAAGATAACTTTTACCTGATAGCTTTTTTGACCCAATCAGATTTGAGTATTGACAAAATGGACTGTTTACTGATCTGTCTGATTAGGCAGTTGTCTACTTACACGCCGCGCCCACTGTTCAAAACAATTCAATTAACGGGATAAATAAAGTGCGATAAAATTCGTCGGTACGGGACGACCAGATCAGCAAATCAAATATGCACTATTCAACTACGTAATTACATTATTTGTTAACTGAGATTTTTACAGCATCACAAATTTTTTTTTCTCAAGCAAAAGTGTAATCGAGCAAAATTGCTCGTATCAGGGCAAAGACTTGAAAGTTTTGACTACCTGCTAAAGTCTATGGAGCATTATTAACATGAAAACTTAAAGAAAGTAAAATAAAATGAAAAAAAAAAAAATTTTAAATATGAGATTTTTCGTAAAAATCATCCCCCCACACGCCATATAAAGTACAAAGTGATTGATTTCACTCCTAGTAACAAATCAATTACGACAAATGAGCTTCATTCAAACAATGTGGAACGATTTCCAAGACAGAATAAATCTCCGCTTTCGTCTTACTAAAACGAGAAATATATCGGGCGTTTATTGTTCTAAATTGGCCGAAGTGGCAATCCTTAAACCCCCATAACTTTAGGAAAAATAATTACCGGTGATTAGGCTTAGGATAACAATACTTTTAGAATGGTATACATTTAAAAAATTCATCAAAAATGGCTAGTTGAAAATTCGAAATTTGTCTGAAGAAAAAAAAACACCCTGAGCACACACAAATATTCCGTTACTTTCGTTACGAAAGTCGGAACAATATTTCCTATTTGAATTGATGTGAGCCAGTTGCTTTTTTGATACATGACCAGACGCAATTTTTATCACTTCGTACATTTACATAGCGGATAGGGGATAGCGTTAAGAAACCAAAAATTTTCAAACGTTTCACGTCTTTCTCAAAAATTTTTCAAAACTAAGAGCCTTTTCATCGACATTAAAAGACAATCAGTAGGAACAATCGGGGCTTCGCCGTAAATTGTACTAACTTTTAACTGTTGTGGCATCTTCGACTCTGCAACCAGTGAATTGTAGATCTGTTTAACTGCCTTTGCCATTTTGTCCATGTCGTATTTGTGGCAATTGAACCATTGGATTGACTTCATGTAGTTCGGCAGAGGAGTGCTTTCGTCTAAGAATAGCGGAGCTAGAAGAGATCCCACAGAGTTGTTGAGACAGTATGAAATATTGAACTGTTCAATGCACTCATCCGCCTGAAAAAACAGCCTCAATTTAAAAAAAAATGGTACCCTTTTTGAAATTTCAGAGGAATAATTTAGTCGCTAAACTACTTTAAATGTAATTCTGAAGTCAGAGCGACAAAACGTAATCTATTAAAAAATAGTTTTAAGTGAGAATTTTTTTGAAAAACTGCTCAATAACGGCTGGGCAAAAATTGTACTCGCATTTTATGATTGGTTTTCAACTTTAATTGATCTCCGTTATTTTAAGTCTGCAACATTCACACAAAAAGGCCTAAAAGAAATAATTCAGGAACCAAATAATGCCCTCCGATAGTTTTACAGGGTAGGCATTACAGCTTGATTCTGATTATCGGTAAAAAGTCAGCAAGTGAGAATTGAGAACGATTCTTACGAAAAAAGGGAGCTTTCAACTTAACACTTTCCTTCACAATTTAACTCTTGACAATTCATCTTTTATTTTACAATCCAACCGCAAAATGTCAAAACTTAACGCCAAAACATATATACTTTTTTTAAAATTATAAAGTGCATTTAAGGTGTCTGTACATTTAAGTTAGGAAAAAGGTGTTTGTAGCGAGGTTACAAAAACAAGCTTGGCATCAAAATTTATGGCCTTTAGGCCGGGGAGTATAGTTTAATTTTATCCTAAGCCCGATTATTTTATGTTGTTGTGATTCTTACCATTTGTTTTATTTCACTAATTACTTTAAAGTATCTTAACTGGTTAATCTTGATTTGACCTTGCTATCTTCATTCTCTCCGACGGAGAGAATGACCGCTCACTTTTTAATGTTTTAACTTAGAGATTAATTCAATTTTTAAACATATCTTATTTGTAACTAAGTAGAATTAACCGTAACAAAGGAACATTTTATCATGGCGCAGTCAAACAGCAACGAATCAAACGTGAGAGGTATACCTTCATTTTGGCAGAACCACACAGTGGACCCACCAATTCCTTGGGAAGAGTGGAGCGATCTATTCCAGCTAGCGATAATCGCAAAAGAGAATATCGACATCGAAAATCTCTTGAATCCAACGGAACGATATCACCCACCTCCCCCAACATTGGAAAATCCACCGGAAAACGAATCCGACGCTCAAAAAACATCACGCATCGAGAGGAATATCCAAGAACAAAAGAGATTCGATGATGAAGAAATGGCCTCAATAAATTTAGAAACCAAGAAATTCAACGGTATGAGACTGGAAGAGGCGGACAAAAAACTAAGATCCATACTTTATCTAGCTCTTGGAAACGAAGGAAAGAAAATATTCGGCCAGAAGTTCACAAGAGTCAAAGTTCTACAAATTTCTTTCAAAGAATTTTGGGACAATTTGTCCACAGCTTTTGTGAGAAAAACAAACATAACCTTCGAAAGACACAAACTCTTAAACAGAAAACAGAGGGACAGAGAATCATTAGAACAATTCTGGGGGGCACTGGCTGAAATGGCAAAACGATGTAACATTCCCACAGGAGAAGACGAATGGATTGGAGATATTTTTATTAAAAACATGAAGAATTCAGATATCCAACGGAAACTTCTCACGGAAACCTTACCGCCACTAGAAGCCTTAAACGTAGCCCTGATTGATGAAAAAGGAATTACAAACCACATAAAGATGACGAGTACTTTTAAATCCAGCGGATATTCTTCCAACAAATCTTTTAATCATTTTAATGTAAAAAGAGAACCCACCCTAAACATCGAAAGAAACAACACATGTATGAAATGCCGCGGAAGTTTTACAAAAGGACATCTAGCGGTTTGCCCTGCTAAAGATACAACATGTACGACTTGTAAATATCGAGGACATTTTACTAGACTTTGTAAATCACGCCGTAAAAATGTAAATATTGTGGGTAGCCAAATTGTAAATAATACGGATCATCATTATCCTTCGGAACAACCAGATGTACATATTGACCACGCTAATAGAGAATGCTGTGGAGTAATAAATGCATGGTCAGAGTCTGGACAAAGCGATAACGACGATTACTCAGTATTAAACGTAACAACTATCTACGATGATCAAGGAAAGGAGATGAAGAAACTACTAAATATCGGCTTAGGAAATGAAAACCAAGTAATTCTGAACATACAGGTGGATTCAGCAAGCCCTGTGAGCTTCCTTAAACAGAATGTGTTACACGAGTTGAGACTACGAGACCCCTACGTGAAAATATATCCAGTGGATAAAGCTACCAAGGAACTCTATTGTGGATTTACGAACAATGCAATAAATATCATTGGAAAAGTAATTGTCCCAATTTTCTCAAATGGATGGTCCCACAAGGAATGCCACTTCTTTCTAACTCAAGGTCATGAAAGAAACATCTTGGGAAACGACAATTTACCAAAAGTCGGAATCGAAGTTTCACAAAAACAATACGCAACACTCACCAACAAGAGAACTTGTAAGTTTATCAATTCCGTTACTTCACTTGACATAGATAATGAAATAGAAATGATTGGAAAAACCTTCAAACAACTATTCCTTCGGATTGGAAAAATAAAGAATCAAACAAAAATAACACATTTTCATGAACCAATTCAACTAAAAGGCAGGAGGGTCCCTTTACACTTACTAGACTCAGTAAAAACAGAATTATACAGGCTTAAATCCGAAGGACACATCAAAAAATTAGAAAACTGTGACGAGGACAGATTTATTAGTCCGATAGTTATTACTTGTAAAAAAGACAAATCGATAAAGCTAGCCCTTGATTCAAAATTCATCAACAAACAAATATACAAGAACAAATATCAGATGCCTAATATACACGAATTAGTTGATAACGTGGCGGCTCAAATTTCGGACAATTCCGCCGGAGAAGTATGGTTTACAAACCTAGACCTAAAGAACGCATATAGTCAACACGCACTGGACAATTTTACTAGCAGCCAATGCAACTTTAGTCTAGTCGGCGGAGATATAACAGGCACTTATCAATTTTTAACGGGTTTTTACGGACTCGGCGATATGCCAAACGAGTTTCAGAGAGTCATGGACTCAACTTTGGGAAACATTCCTTTTACAAATTGCTACCTCGACGATATATTAGTCGCTTCCAAAGGAAGTTTTAACGATCACAAGAAAATCGTTTATAAAATTTTATCAACGTTAGACACTTACAATTTCGCAGTTAAATGGTCGAAGTGCAAATTCTTCCAAAAAGAAATTGAATGGCTCGGTTTTAAAATATCGAAATCCGGAATCGCCCCATTATTCGATAAAACCAAGGCAATCAAAGATATTCCAACCCCAAAGAATCTAAAAGAATTAAGATCATTCTTCGGGTCAACTAATCAGTACATTAAATTTGTACCAAATCTAGCATCCCTCGGAAGCCCGCTTAGACCTCTTTTAAACAAGAAGTCAATTTTCCTTTGGAATGAAAATCACTCAAAAGCTTTTGTCAAGATTAAATCTGAAATAGTAAATCTTACCGAAAACACTCATTTCGACGTAAAAAAGCCCACGAGAGTAAAAACAGATGCTTCACATAATGGATTAGGTGCATCCCTTGAACAACTTCATGAGAAAGTTTGGAAAACAGTGTCATTTGCTTCAAGATTTTTAAATCCGCACGAATCGAAATATTCAACAAACGAATTAGAGTTATTAGGAGTTGGATGGGCGGTTGAACATTACAAAAATTATCTCTATGGCTCCGAATTTGAAATTATCACCGACCACAAAGCTTTCCTTTCCGCTTTGTCACCAAATGACGGAAACAAAACATACCATAGCCGATTGACAAGATTGGTAGATCGTCTCCTACCATTCAATTTTACTATCAAACACTTAGCGTGAAAAGATATGGGTTTTACAGACCTAATTTCAAGAACTCCTTCGGGTAAAGCAATTCCCTCATCACACTACGACGAAGAATTTGTAGTTGCTACTACCAAAAAAATATATAGTGCACTCAATCCTTCGGATAATGAAAATCCATTACGTAATTCAATTAATTCGATTTCAGAAAATTCCCATTACATGAAATCACGAAATCACGTAATAATCACAGCATTGAATTTCGTCAGCTCTTCCATTTCAATCTGCAATCAAAAACATTATAGAACAGAACTTTGTAATTCTAAATGTATTCCTTCGGATTTCTCAAACACTGATTTTACTAAAATTATCCTATCAAATTCAGCCTTTATCTATTTTTTAATCCTTAACAGTAGCTTAATTAGTAATCCTTCGGATCTCAAATTTATAAATAGTGTAAATATGTCAAATAACCAAATTGTAGTAAGTCCTTCCACTTCCGGGAAACAGTTCTCTATCGATTTTCAAATTTTATCAGAACACAAGAAGTTAGTAACTAAATTCCGAGAAAATCTCAAGTTACCCGAAAGACCTTTGGATTTAAATACATTATTCAATGCAAAATTGGTCGCTTTCTTAACGGAAGATGATGAATTATTAAACCCAATTGTTAAAGCTCTACAGAAAAAAGTAGATAACATCAATGCAAATTCCCGTTATCTACACCAATTTTCGAAAGAACTTCATGAATCCGACGGACTATTATATATGGATGGAAAACTAGTTATTCTGTTTACACTTAGAAACGCCGTTTTAAAAACATTACATGATTCTCACCCTGGCCAATTCGGTATGAAATACTTGGCACAATACATTTGGTGGCCACACATATATCGACAAATTTACTTCCACGGGATTAATTGCACACAATGCACGCAAACCGGTAAGAACATAAAAAGCATCATTCCAACTTCACAAATTAGTGAACTTCCCACCTTATTTGAACCTAATGAGGAAATAAATCTTGATTTTGCCGGCCCACTAGATAACAACTGGGGAAACAATAAATACATCTTATTGTGTATAGACCGTTTTTCAAAATTCCCTTCAGCAAAAATTACCTCTTCAACGTCATCAAACACAGTAATCGAATTTCTTCAAGATTAATTCTATCTCCATGGGATTCCAAAATCTATTCGGGTCGACCACGCATCCTGCTTTACTAGTCAGGATTTTAAATTATTTTGCAATTCTCTTAATATCAAACTAATATTCTGTACAGTTGGGGACCATCGTTCTAACGGTCTTGAAGAAAAACTTGTTCATACTGTAAAAATCAAATTATTAGCAATGTCACTGGATCAACAAAAACCCACATTACAAACCGCCATTTCGAAAATCATTTGGAATCTACGATCTTCCTTCCAATCTAAAATTAAATGCTCACCGTTCGAAATACACTTTAATAGAAAACCGAACACGATCTGGAAGCAATTGGCATCTAATAATTTATCCGGTGGATTTTTAGACAAAGGGAAGTCGATCTTAAGCAGAGAAAGGGCCCTCGACTGGAACGCTGACGATCGGGTAGAGGACGGATACAAAGACTCCCTCATACCGAAAAAGAACCAGTCACCATTGGAGAAAGGCTATGATTCAGACCTTCCCACTACTTCAAAACCTCAATCAGCCCGAGTGTCCTTAAACAGTCCGTTTAAAGGTAAATTACTACGGAAAACTAACAGAAGTATAAACGGAAATCCCTTCTATAAACAACTAGGTCAGAAAATAATAAACTCAACAAAATCCACGGTTGAATTATCCGACGGAAAAATTATTAGAAAATCGGACATCGCCATTTCAAAGTCTAAATCTTCTACAATTCGTTCATTCAAAGGAAATATCTCCTTTCCTTTTTTCTCTAACGGTGATTTACAAGTAGGTCCAAGAAAGTCATACAAATCGAAGACACAACAGACGCGGAAACCAGACACTAAGTCAGGAAGACAAGCAGTGTCGCTCATCCCGGTCACCACCAGATCTAGAGGAACGAACCAGCCTTCAAAATCCAACAAATCGAAGAAGAACCAAAATAAAGCCTCGACGTCGAATACTGGATACCTAGCAGGTGACGAATCAATGTTTATTCCGTCGGATACGTCGGACATTAGCGATTGGGAATGGATTGCGGGAGGTTTCCCATGTAGAGAAATGATAAGAAAACGCTTCATTTCAGATAACGACAATTTAAAAAAAGAACCTACCTCATCATTAGACCCTAAAACATATCAAACTAATATAAAACCTGAGATTTTAGACGAACAATCTCAACCCTCGGACACAGCGGAATGCCCAATTAGTATAAAACCAGCACTTCAAACTACCTCACATCCACCTGACGAACCTTCTACGGCTACGACAACGGAGCCGCCAAAGATTCCTTCGGATTGGACAAAACCATTGGTGGGAGAAAAACCGGTCGATTTCCCAGTTTTCGAAATAGAGGACTCCTCAGACGAAATTGGAACCAGCGAGGATAGACATCCTAAGGAAACTAATACCACCGGTAACGAACTTATTTTAAGACGTTCAAGCCGAAATGTTGGCCCCCCTAAACTCTATGGTAAGCGATATTTCATAGATATTATAGATGAGCTAGAAAACCAACCAGGCTCCGCTATTAATCCTATATCTCTGGACGAGGATGACAGCTCGAGCTCCCCCACACAAACTTTCAGAGAGAATCCCTTGGATAATCAGACCAACATTTGCAACACACTACCGGAAGACAGTACACCGGACCTAGCTTACACCCAATCTCCTGATCGATTCTCCATCGCCTCTACTGACGATTCTCTGAGAGATGCCGTGAACTGTTTTGAAAATTACATCGACTTAGATAGTGAAATTTTCAACGCCGAGCTGGAAAAATTTATGGAAGGGGACAGCTAAACTCAATCAAATTTTAAAACTCACATTTAGTCATTTATAATCTGTACAGTATTTTGTCTAAAGCGCAATTAGAGCTTACTTAGCTGTAACTACGGATTACAATCCGCCGGATTTAGGAAATTTATTATCCTCTATAATTTAGTCATTCCTTTGGAGCATCAAAATGACATTTGTTATACTGTGCAGTATTTAAAATTTCATTTTGTCGGACTTCTCGAGAGGGAGAAAAAGGGATTGATAACATGTTAGGTATCATGGCGCTTAGTAACTTAAATTTTTTCCCACTAAGGGGAATGTTGTGATTCTTACCATTTGTTTTATTTCACTAATTACTTTAAAGTATCTTAACTGGTTAATCTTGATTTGACCTTGCTATCTTCATTCTCTCCGACGGAGAGAATGACCGCTCACTTTTTAATGTTTTAACTTAGAGATTAATTCACTTTTTAAACATATCTTATTTGTAACTAAGTAGAATTAACCGTAACAAAGGAACATTTTATCAACTGTTATAAGGCCAAAAAGTCAAATTGTTAAATGAGCTTTTCTTTTAAATGAAAGCCCAGTTTTATTTCGCTGAAACTAATTTCAACCGATCAGATCCGAGCCTTATGATCCTTATATTTTTAATACATTATTAAGATATTTTCGACCCAGTTTTTAAAACATTCATAAGATAATGTTTGGGCTGCGAAACAAAAAGACCCCCAAACTTGACCTTGAGTTCAGACTGACCTTGTGTAATTTTGACCTTGAGTTCAGACTGACCTTGTATAAGTTTGACCTTGAGTTCAGACTGACCTTGTGTAAGTTTGACCTTGAGTTCAGACTGAGCTTGTGTAAGTTTGACCTTGAGTTCAGACTGACCTTGTGTGTAAGTTTGACCTTGAGTTCAGACTAACCTTGTGTGTAAGTTTGACCTTGAGTTCAGACTGAGCTTGTGTAAGTTTGACCTTGAGTTCAGACTGACCTTGAGGTATAGAGGACTGAGGAAATGGACTACTTTTCGGGAGGCCTTCACGTTCTCGTACATTTTGCTCTGCCAGCTGGACTCTTCCGACATAGTTTCCCTCTCGTCGTAGAAGCGAACCGACGAAGCCTGGCTCTTCATCACTCTAGAACAGTCACGTGACTGTTAACCGAGGGCCACGCAACAGAAGTAGCCCAGCCAAAAAAAATCGATAACCAAAAAATGCATCAGAAATACTTAATAACCCCCCCTCCCCGCTATGTTATCTACTGAAGAGTTTCCACCCCTCAAAAATAAAACAGTTAGCTAGCGCTTGAGCTTTCTGTTGATAATTCAACTTTTTCTGCATACTGATTGGCCGAGTTTTCCTCAGCGCTTATTGAAAAGTATAATGAAAGCACTTGGGGCTGAAAAAAATCTTTTAAAAGGACGAACCATTTTGCACTGCACCATCTTTTCAACGATAATACTAGGGTTATTGTCACATCAATGCTGGTTAAAAAAAGGTAAAGATGTCAATTCAGAGATAGGAACATTTGATCTTAGTCAAAGATTTGTCGAAGACCATAATTGGTATAAAATACACGATTTTTTGCCTGACGTGATACTAAAAAAAAGTAAGATTACTTGCTGAACTGTTTGGCGAAGGTGTCGTCTTGGCCACTGTACGACATGTAGAAATCGAAGGAGTAGCCTTGGTCACTGGCCTTGTCGTGTTTCTTCGCAAGTTCATTTATGGGTCCCTTCAGACTGTCAAAACACTTCATTTGACCCGCGTATTGTTTCTTCGCTTCGTCAGCTGACCTAAATTGAAGATAAATTGAGAGTTTCGGTTTTAATTTGAACAAAAGACAGTATCGAATTTAGAAAAATGACAACCCTTGGTACTTTTTTTCGACATTCATTTTTGATCGACCATTCCTTATACTTTTTTGAAGCCGCCTTCGGCGCAATTACCGACATGCACTAAATTTGACGAGAAATTTTGGGTAAAAAAAAGGCTATTTTTGGGCAAAAACTTTCCAAAATTTGTCTAGAAAACAACATTGAATTTTTTAGAACGTCCGTTTTTTAAACCGACCGAAATGTTTTCCCGAGCCCTCACCATTTTACAACATTCAAATTGACCCAATTTTAACCCTCTTAAAGCCGATGAAGTTTTGTGAGCTTGAAGTTACCCTTTGGTGAAGAGAACAATGGTGAATGTCTCGATAGGGAGTCCCGCGAGCATCCAATTAGCACACCCATTCACCATCGCAGTCAACATCATGTTCTTGTTATGGCCACTGTCGCCTGTCTTCAGAAGAGACGAGACCACTCTCAAGTCACTCCCCAGATTGCTGCAAATAAATAAACAAAACAATAATAAACTATAATTAATAACAAACTAATAACAAACTAACAAATACGGGGTTTAGGAAATTAGACGACAAGCAAATTAGACGATCAGAAAATAACGGAATTTAGACAATAACTTGCGTGAAATTCGCGAAATTTGTTTACAGATTAAAATTATCTTTTGGCTGAGTAAAGACTGGTTGTCCAATTTAGACAATAACTTGCGTGCAAATTGCGTGAATCTTGTTTACAGACTTAAATTAACTTTTGGCTGAGTAAATACTTGTTGTCCGTAAATTCCGTTTATTTACGGTCATCTAAATTGTTTGTCGTCTAATTTCCTAGGCCCCACTTATACTATTTACTATACTAAACGAGGGCTAGGAAATTAGACGACAAGCAAATTAGACGTGACCAACAAAAACGAAGTTAGGCGTTAAATTATTTTTGCAAAACTAGAATTTTAGACGGAAAGCAAAGGGCTAACAAAACTTATTGCTTAAAACAACTTTTCATAAATAGAAAAAATATTATATGATCCTATTGCCTATCAAAATATTTATCTCAATTGTTTTATAAAATGTTAATTTCAAGATTATAAAACATTTTTGAAATGCATAAGTTATACAATTGCGGCATGTGAAAAATGCGGAATGTGAAAACTGCGGCATGTAAAAAGTTGATTTGCATTTAAGAAAGCTGAACGAAAGTTAATTGTAGTCGGTAAACAAATTTCAGACATGAACAATACAATTACGTCTTATTTCCCATATTTGTAATTTTGCATCGACGTCTAAATTCGTTTTTGTTGATCACGTCTAATTTGCTTTTCGTCTAATTTCCTAGGCCCCATACTAAACTAGGCTACTGCAATAGCGTCCATAAAAATGCATTATTTACCACAAAAACCTGAAACAGGTCCACACACACAAACACACACACAATTAAGGATAGTTCACCTTAACTGAACTATAAGTAAATTTTTCCATTTTTTCTCTAGATTTTTGCAAATACAAAATTATTTCTTGTAAACTCAGAGACTCAGAGAAGGAAAAAACGGCAAAACATACTACGTCAAGAAAAGAATAACTTGAGGGAAGTAATTTGCGCTACTTTTGCGCGAACCAAAACAGATATGTTGCGACTTCGCGCTATACTCTTGCAGGAGTATGGAATTTCGGTCGCAGAAAATCCATTTCGGCGACCCAATTCGGTCGCAACATAAGTCGTGGACCTCCTACCGGGCTGCCATGAGTGATGGTGGATGAGTACGAGCTCCTTTGTGACCTCTAGCGTCACTTCTACCACCAAAAACAGCCTGACCGATTTCGGCTGCAAAAATGGTACCACGTGAAAGCTTTAGACGCAAAAAAAATATCTTCATCCGCAAAAAAATGACTTCGCTCAACAAAATACAAAATAACTCAGTCTGGAATGTGGGGATATAAGAGAAACCAACCATTACGAAGCCAAACTATGCACTGGATATAGGCGAACAATTTTGTGTCTGTATGTTCCTCTGTGCTTAGACAGGCTGGATAGCCGGTCATGGAGCAAATCACAGAAGCCACGATTATTAATTTGTTCTAATTCTAATTCGATATTCTAATTAGTTTCCTTATGACTTTTACTTCAAGCTACAAACCTGATTGTAGTCAGTCCTCTGAACATAGTTCCGACTTCCTGTGGTACAGAGCCCCCGGGTCTTCCCGGAATCACTGGATTCTCGAAACACATCAGACGTTTGAACGGACAGCCTTTCAGACCCGGCACCATTTCGGTCATGGGCTTGGAATACCAGCAGTAGAAGTGCGACCTCAAATCCTCCATTTTGGACTGAGCCAGTTTTCTCACGTTTATTCCCTGTTTGCTCAGAGCTCCAACAACTAGAGCAGATATTTCATTTATTTCATTTCATATATCTCATTTATTCTTCCGCCCAACTAAATTATGAATTTATTCAAGGAATTTTCAGTTGCACCCCTCCCCCACCCCCTTGAATGGTTGTTTCCTCATCTCACAGATGGAAAGCGTGAAAGTAAAGTATTTTTTTTTGCTAACGCCATTACTGCTTTTTTTGCCCAGGGGAAAAAACCAGTCTAGTTCGATACAAAAAAAAATTCGAATTATACAACTGAGATTGCATTTTGACAATTTTGAGCTAAACTAAACTGGGACTATACGACATAAAACAAGGCACAAAACCGCTTATAGCTAATTTAGATGACGTCCCTATCATTTTTTGGTGCATCGTATTAGAGTTTTGTAACCGGTAATAATATCGCCAATCCAGGTTCGTTATTAAAATTTTAACTTATTTTTTTATCATTTAGGGAGATAGAGCCATCAAACAAAACAAAACATAAAACAAGAGACACCGAGGACTTTAATTTACTTTTTTTACTTTCTTGAGGTCGCGACAACACTTAAAATGAATTAAATTATTTAAATGATCAAAAAATGTTCGAGACCTTAAGTATGAAAAAAGACGCTATTAGGTCAAAATGTTTTGCAACACTGCAAATTTTGATTATTTGAGCCAAAAATGACCATCTGGTTTTGTTAGGAGGTCATGATTCACATGAAGTTCCCCACCCATCCCACTTACAATATCTAATTAGGTCCTTGACATTGAGAATTGACGTGTAATTCAAAAATAAAGGTTTTTATTGCAGTTTTACCATTTTTTTGGTGGAATTACTAGTTACAAATATTAGCTTGAGTACAACTTAAGAAGAATACCCGAAGTCGGCGTGGGCGAGTAATCGTTCGGAAAAGCCGAGATGAGAAGAAAGTCCGTGTTCCATTCCGGCGGAATTTTCGACAAATCTCCCGCGCAGAGCCGAATCGTTTTTGTTTTTTCTCCGTTTTTCAGCGCAATGCTGTCCAGTATATTCATGTTGACTTCAAATAGCTTGTGATGATGAATTTGGTAGCTTTTAATTTTCGTTCTTTATTTGCAGAGGTAGTATTGCTGCTATACAAAATTGAGATGTTATTTTCTCAACGGTATAAAACAAGCAATGGTATAAAATTAGGCGAACTTAGCTTAACGCGCACGTTTACTCAAAAATGCCATTCAAACGTTCAACGGGCATGATGCTATAGAAGAATTCTGATTTTTCTCAATGGTACGAAGAAGCAATGAATGCGGCGCATAAGAGCAGAATGGTTCGAGAGCAGAATGGGTCCAAGAGCAGAAAAACAGAAAAAAAAGTCACTATAATAAGCTAATCGGTAAAACAAGTATTAGAATTGTCAATATTACCCATGAAACGAATATATTGAGCATAAATTGAATAACTTGATCAAATTTTTTTGAAGTTCAGTAAAAAAAACTTGCTAGAATTACTCAGTTAAGGATGTATATTTTATTGATGTCTTTGGTAGTATTGTGGATTCTACTAATTGTTCAAATCGATTAGCCCGTATAGATCAAAATTTGTCGATTTTTATGCTCATTGACTGGCCGATTTTTCTGCTCATTGACTGGCCACTTTTTCTAACAGACTCCTACTGCGCTCTGTTGACAAACACGCAAAGCAATGACTCGACTGTTTGATCCAATATTTTGTTTTTAGGCTATTTGAGCTCTTAACAATTATTGTTCCGACTTTCGATACGAAAGTAACGGAATATTTGTGCTCGGGTGGGTTTTTTTTTCTTCAGACAAATTTCGACTTTTTAACTAGTCATTTTTGACAAAATTTTTTATATCATTCAAAAGGTATTCTTGTCCTGAGCTTCAATTTGAAAAGATATTTCACCTGTGATCATTTTTTGTAAAGTTATGGGGGTCTAAAGATTGCCATTTTGGCAAATTTGGGATATGTTTCGCGCTAGTAACGCTTAAGCGGAGATTTAATCCGTCTTGAAATCGTTCCAAATTGGTTGAAAGAAGCTTATTAGCCATAATTGATTTGTTACAATGAGCGAAATCTATTCTTTTAAACTTTATATGGCGTGTGGGGGTATAATTTCATAAAAAATTTCCAATTTTAGAAAAAAAAATTTCGTTTTTATTTCATTACATTTAGTTTTTTTTATGCTACTACTGCTCGATAAAACTAAAAAGGCAGCCGGAAAATTCAGGGCTTCGCCCTGTTACGAGCAGTCTTGTTTGTTTTTAGGCTGTTTGAGCTCTTAACGATTATTTTTTATTTTTTAATTAGTGCTGGATGATATGAAATTTAACTGAGATGCGCGTATTCCCGTATAATTCAAAAAATTTTGATATTTTTCTGTGCTCTTAAACCCTTTCTACTTTTACACCACTCTTTTCCTCGTCTGGTAACCGCAAACGACTTATAGCGTCCAGATGAGCTTAGCTCAGCGCAAATTTTAGCATTTTAATCTAGATACATGACAAGAAGTATACAAGCTTTATTATAGACGTGTCATCAAGTAGAAAAATCATATAACAACCAATCAAATCGAGATACGAAAAACAAACGTACACAGAAATAATTACTTTTTGTTTCTTCGACTTTTGATGAAATTGACGAATAAACATGAGTGGCTTTTTTAATCATGCCAATTCACCAAAATAACATTTCCAGGGCTCAAATCCCCTGGATCTTAGGGCACCCACAGCTATATTAACCTTACGCTACGGTGGCTTTGGAGGGAAGTCTGTATTTTGACAACCGCCTATTCAGACTCGTCAGTAAGCAGACAAACACCATATTAACCAATCAGAATCGAGATGAGAAAGCAAGTTTACGAAATAAATAATTATTAATCATTCATTTCTTCCTTGTCTCGATTCTGGTTGGTTAATATAGTGTGTGTCTGCATACTGACGAGTCTGAATACGCGGTTGTTTAAATACTGCTACGTAACGGGTGGCTGTAATCCGAGTCTAACTAAACTGTTCCTTTAATACATTGGTGCTGAAAGTGTAACGCGGTTTCTAAATGTGCGGTGAAGGAAAATTTTCGCGCTCAACAAAATTGTTTCTAATTGAATTGACGCAAGCTAATTAGTAGTAATAATCCCATAATCATTTCAAAGCTTAACACCTAATATTTGATAACATCAGCCCAACCTTCATAGTTTGTCAATACCTCACCTCATTTACCAAAAACTATTCAAGTTTAAGTAAAGGGCAGTGATAACATTCAAGATTTTGTCCAAATATTCGAGCAATCTTGTTGTTCCGACTTTCGTAACAAAAGTAACGGAATATTTGCGCTCGGGTGGGGTTTTTTTTTCTTCGGACAAACTTCGACTTTTTAACTAGCCTTTTTTGACAAAAATTTTAAAAATCATTCGAAAGCTATTGTTGTCTTGAGTTTAAATTTGAAAAGGTGCTTCAGCTGTGATAATTTTTTTATAAGGTTAGGATGGTTTAAAGATTGCCATTGTGGCCAAGTTGGGACAATTAACGCGCGAGATATTTCCCGCTATTAACGCGTAAGCGAGATTTAATCCGTCTTAGAAATCGTTCCAAATCGGTTCAAGGAAGCTTTATGCCATAATTGATTTGTTAATAGGAGAATAATTTATAACTTTGTACTTGATATGACGTGTGGAGGGATGTTTTCACAAAAAATCTCAAATTTAAAAAAAGTTTCAATTTTATTTCATTACTTTTAAATTTTTCATGTTACTACTGCTCCATAGTTCTTAAAAGGCAGTCGGAACAATCAAGGCTTTGCCCTGATACGAGCAGTCTTGTTATTTGTGTGAACGATTGTTTTTCCTATTTCAAATTTTGATTGCTTAATATGTTGCTTTCAACTTGTTGACATGTCTACTTGAAAGTTTGCCTAAATGTGACCGCACCCATGAATCACGATTATCAAATTGGATGTTATAGCCAACTGCAACCGTTACTTACAAAAAAGCTTGAACTCTTCAATTGATAAATAAGAAAAGTGAAATTTTATTTGTAAACAGTTTTCAATTGACACACGACGCTTAAGCAAACCGGCAACTTTTTAAGCAAGCAACGATTTTTTAAGACCTATTTCATCGGTTGAGATAATAGTGATCATAAAATTTTTCCCGTATAAACAGACTCTAATGAGCTTTAAATTTGAAAAATTTGGATATTTTTTATTGTTCTATAAAGTAGTAAGTTTTCAACTGCCAAAATTCTATGCACAGCACAAGTAGCAAATAAATCTTTGGCAAGTCAAAGCTAATTACATAATCTAAACGTATAAACAGCTTCGAAGCTTCGCTTCCCAAACACGACCGAGAACATGACAAAAAGCAAATCTATAAAGCGCATTAAGAAAAGTAGAAATAAGCCTCGAGTTACTAACAATTTTGTCTACGTCTCGGATTCGATCTGCGACCAACTCTGACCTAAAAATAGTGACTCTCACGTACTAACCACTCAGCCAAGGACACTTAATTGATCATAAACACTAGCAAAAAATGAGAACTTTTAAAGAACACTTTTACTTGCGAGTTAGGTTAGAACAAAAGTTTCGTACTAATACTTCAAGCTGATCACTAGAGTAAACAGGAAAACAGTACGCTTCATTTAAAGTTAAAAACAAAGTATAACTACCCAGAAGGTTATCGAATGGATATTAACCCCCATGGATATTACAAACTTTGTTTTTTACGTACTAAGCATCACATAGTACGCTAATAAACAATCAAAACTAAGACTGATGTTTGCTTTTTGAAATAAATTGAGACAAACTGTCGCATTCAAAAGTGATATCGAAAAAAATCACGAGCGCTCATGTTAACAATAAAGCGTTGCTAACAACAAAATACACTCAGCGGCGGTTCTCAAATCACTCAATTAGTCAACCCAAGATCAATTTTTCTCTAGCGCCATGCAGACAGAAAAGATTGAGCTAGCTTGATGCTCCTTTTAAAGTCAATTTCAGCAAAGGTTTAAGAAACTGTTCTAGGGAAAAGAAGGTCCTATTTCCGGTTGGAAGACACTTGTAAGAAAATCCAATTTCGACACAAAAATTAGTTCACATTATTTCAGACAAACTTTTTAAACAACTTAATTTGGTTTCCATGCAGCAAGAGAATTCAAAACTTGCTGAAAAAGGTATACCCAAAGCTCTCAAATCAAAACTTGAAGTAATTTTAATTTTTTTTTCTCAAAAAAATATAGCACAGTAGCACGCTACCTAAGGAAGTAAAATTCAATTTCGGTCTTTTAATTTACAAAATGAAAAAACCGTCAACGAATTGCACAAACTTTGCTTTTATCACTATTGGCATATTTTCTTCATAGTTTTTACTTACGAAGAAAACGGAATATCAACTTAAAAAAGATATTTTGCCTCCCATGATTTTTTGTTAAGTTCTGGGGGTTTGAAAATTGCAAATTGGCCATGCTCTGGTACTAAAATATGCGCGTTTTGAAGAATTTATTCTTTTTGCAGAGAGCGTAACGCAAAATATTTATGCTTAGAGAATCATACCGCACAACAAAATCGTTCCAAATTGAATTGAAGCTAGCTAATATGATCCGTCGTATTAATTTTATTCTCATTTCACGCTTTGATTTTGTCCAAAAATAATAGGTTTTCAATAATTTTTCCCAAAAACTATTCGATATGAATTAAGGGACAATCGGAACATTCACGACTTTGCCCTGATATACGAGCAGTTTTGTTTTTGTCTAGAACATGTTTTGTGCCTGCCTTGTCTTCAAAAGTTTTAAGAATCAACTGTTATCCAGAAATTAAGCTCTCACGTCAATTGGATAACCGCGCTACTTGTCCTGGAAATTGTGATGACAAGGCAGCTCTACATTTTGTTAACGCTTTTAGCAAAAGTTATTCGTGGAAACAACTGCTCTGAATCATGAACTCGTTATTTTCAATGCTACCCATTTGCTCAAAAATAAGTCTTTTTTACTCCGCTTTTTAAAGACCCGAAATTCCTCATGCTCAATCTTTTTGTTGAAACAAATTTCGTTCTTTAACTACCCACTTTTGAAGAAAATTTTTCTATAATCTGTAACGCATTGACGTCTTGAGCTCAAATTTAGGTTTAAAAGTTGCCAATTTAATCAATTTGGGACAATCAACGCGCAATAATTCGTGCTATCAACAAGTTAGTAGACGCTTAATGCAGCATTTGCAGTTTACTTATCATGTGGCGGGGTTTCAAAAAAAATTGATTGAAAGCATTTTTTTCTTCTTTTTTGAGATTTTATCAATTTTTTTCTCAGTAAGGTTCTACCAAAAAACTATTTCATAAACTTTTTTAAGCGGCAATCGGCAAATTCAGGGCTTCGCTTTGATACGAGCATACTTTGTTTGTTTATTTGCAGTTTTGCGACATCTGTATATAATTAAACTTATCTTTTATGTTAGAGTGTATTTTTGTGTGAAACGAATTTTTTGCTTGATAATTTCTTTGCAACTTCAACTTTGGGTATACAGTGCCCATAAAAAAAATCAGGACGAAACGCCTAAAACTAAATTAAAACGCATTTTTCTAAAATTGGGTTGACTTCAAGTCAACAATGATTGAAACAAAACTTGCTTAGGTTTTGAGCAGAATTGAGATAGTCATTTTAAATTGCAAAATTCGGTTCTTAAAACTATTTCATAACCACTTATTTTTGACTTTTTAGTCAATCAAGAATAATAATAAAAAAATAAGCTGGCAAAACAATTGTTGGCAAATATATGTCAATTTGAATCTCTTGAATACTTGAATCATTTAAACTTGAAAACGTTCAAACGTTTTGCCAAATTGTTTGGTAATTATACATTTTTAAACTTAGTTTTTGGCTATTTTACATTTTTTGTAGACTTAGTTAGGCTAATTATGAGGCTCATTTCGAAAGTTTCAACAGTATATGACCCGGTTGTTCTAGCGTAATTTTTGGTTGACTTGTGAGCCAAGACTGATCCAAATTAGAACAAAAACTTGGGCGTGAATTTCGCCAAATTAATACACGTAGAGGCGATCTGGAGCTTCGCACCACTTAAGATACAACACAAACACAAAAAAACATGTCGAAAAAAATGAAAAATTTTGATAACAAATTAGGGATAACAAGTAGGTGGACAAAACGTTTCGTATGTCTCAAAAAAAATTAGGGGCTCAATTGAAGAAGAGGAATGCCAGCTAAAATTTACAAGGAGGGACCAACGCCAATAAAAGCAGACAATTGTTGAACAAAAAAAATAGGGATAACAAGTAGGTGGACAAAACGTTTCGTATGTCTCAAAAAAAATTAGGGGCTCAATTGAAGAAGAGGAATGCCAGCTAAAATTTACAAGGAGGGACCAACGCCAATAAAAGCAGACAATTGTTGAACAAAAAAATGATTTTAAAGTTTTTAAAAGTTTCAAGTTACCCCTGAAACTACATTGAACGACACTTGCAAATACACAAAAAACTGATTACAATGCAAATAATACCGGCGATGTGGCCACTAAGCCGACAAACCTTGAGCAGACAACCGAAGTTTCGACAACTCAGTTTTCACCGGAAAAAAGTTTCTATTTCATGTATACTGAAACAAAACAAGGTCTTGTCGGGACTCAAACGCCAGACCTTACGGCACAAAAATAACCCCGTTACCTCCAGGCCGACTGAGAAGGAACCTGAAATAAATTTAACTTTTGATAGCCAAAATATGTCATTTTCACAATATATAAAAATTTATTTATACTTTTAGGAGCTTCGGATCACTTAAGATACAGCGCAAACATAACAGGATCTTATCAAGCAGGAGCTCTAGGCAAACGAGCAAAGCAAGAGAATTGAATTTTGAATTCGCAAAACTTGCGAAGCAAAATCAAAATCGACAACCTGAGCAGACACCAGTTGAGCCAAAAAAAAAAGCTTTTTAAAGGAAAAATTATGTAATATAGCAAAGACTTTCAAAAGTTTCAATTCCCCTAACAGCTACCTTTGCAACTACCATAATACTTATTTACAAATGACACCTAAGCCGACAAAACTTGAGTAGACAAGCAAAGTCCGACAATTCAATTTTTACCGCAAAAAAAAACGTCTAAATTTTAGGGACTCGAATTCCAGACCTTAGTGTACGAAAGCGACCACTAAAGGCCAAGTGGGAAGGAACCTAGTAGTTTTTAGATTTCAACAATAACGCAAGTTCAACTTTTTGTGAAAAAAAGTCTAGTTCCCGATTACAAGACACTTGCTCTTGCAAGTGTAATCATAACATTTCTGCAAAACTCCTGAACAAGTCCTGTTGTAATCATTTTCCAACTTAAATCAACTCAATTAAGAAAAAGCGAAAAAAAACTTCAAGTTTCTTGCGCTTTGTTTAAATAATTTATCTGCACTGCAGTTATATCAGCCTCCTCTGGAAATTTCAAATTATGACGACTGCTCAGGAAATTAGCAAAAAAATAAATTGAGAAACTCACTGAGCTTGATTTGAAAGCTTTCAAAATTTCTGCCTTGCTGATTTTGCTACCTGCGCATACATAGTTTTTTCTTGTTTTCAGCTAATGTAGATGAAAATGAGAACAAAAAAAAACAGATTAAGATAATTTGGCAAATTACCAAGGATCAAAATTCCACACAAACTACAGTACCGATGCCGACTAAACTAAATCAAAGTACACTTTTTATGTAGCTCAACAAAATTCAGGAAGACTAAATTGTTCTTAGTTTTGATTCCACTTAAATGGATTATGTTAGAAACCAAAAAGTGTCCATTTCTTTTTGTAAAACCTGAATTTCATTTCATTTTGACATAGTTTTCTGAAATTTGAAAAAAGATATGAAATAAGCCTCGAATTAGTAAGACTTTGCTACGTATGGGCTTCAAACCTTCGACCTCGAGAAATAGAGTCTCAAACCCTGCCCTCCAGGCCACGAACGTTTATCAACCAGCAGACATTAGCCAAAAACTAAATATCTACATAGGCTAACAAATTGCCAATTCGGTGCAGCAAAAGTGGTACCAAAGAGAAATAGACACAATTTTGCAAGTAAGAAAATTGGAATATAACAAACAGAAGGCATCCACACTAATTTTTCATGTAAAAAACAGGAAAACTTGAAGCCGTATTTTTTAAAATTAATTATACATTTCAAAAACTGTCAGATAAACTCAGTTAGAAAATTACTCGAATCGAGTTTTTATTATTGTTATTTGTTTAAAACAAATAACATTTTTTGGTTCTTTTGATGAATTCAAAAAAGTATCAACTGTGTTAACTTGTTACTATTCGAATGTCAAAGCACATTCTACAAAAAACCGTAAATATGTCCCAAAAATTGCACCAATGTTTGCGACTTAGGTTAGAAAAATTACAAAAGTCGTTGTAAAACACTCCTGCTCACTTAAGGTCGCAAGTGTAATTAAGTTTATTTGAAAACAATCTTAAAATGTTCAATATTATTCACTCCTTGAACCGAGTTGTGTGAAGAAGGAAGGGGGGTCAAAAAATTTAAAAACGGGCAAAAAATCAAAAAATTGATTTTTTCGAGGGTCACAACTTCTTGTGTAAAAAAGTTAGTCGTAAGAGCTTATGCAGCGGAGCTTTCCACAACCCGTTCTACTCATTGGAACCATAACCTCAGCTTTCGGAGGTTAGTTTTAGAGAAATATCAAATGTTTCAAAAAACGGTGAAAAAATCGAAATTCTGCTTTCGAGGGTCCTAAATTTTTGTTTACAAAATTTGGCCGTAATGGCTTTTGCACGCGAGCTCTCAACGACACTTTCTTTCGATTGAATTCCAAACCTCAGATTTGTCAGGGCAGTTTTCCAGGAAGTCGATAAGTTTCAAAAAAAAAAAAAAAAAAACGTCAAAAATGGTAAATTTGACTTTTCCGAGGGTCATAACTTTTTGTGAAAAAACCTTGGCGAAGCCGCTTGTGTAGGTATCTCTTCGCAAGCCGTTTTTTATTTTCAAACTAAAATCTCAGATTTGGGAGGGTAGTTTTCGAAAAAAAAAATCAAAAAATGATAAAAAAAATTAACTATTTTAAGGGCCATAAATTTTGTGTACAAAAATTTTAGCGTAGCCGATAATGCAGGGGAGCTTCCCACAACCTGTTTTATCATTGAAACCAAAATCTCAGATTTAGGAGGGTAGTTTTCGAGAACAAGTAAAAAATTTAAAAATAAGGTTCAAAAATTCCCCCCACACATTTTTTCGAAGGCTGTAGAAAGTGGTGTAAGGTAAAAAAAAAGAGATCGGAGGAGTAAGCAGACATACAGGGTAGTGGGAGGATTTCCCGTTGGTTCCACTTTTTTGAAAATCGGTAACGTAGTAATTTCCAAAGCGTCTCAAAAAAAAACCAGATCCCATACATTTTCATAATACCTGATTTTATCAAACAGGAATTAGTCAGTACCTGACTTGGTAGTTCTAGCGTAATTTTTGATTGACTATTAAATCAAGATCCGTTTGTGGGATAAAAATTTAGGCCCGACTTTAACAAAACAAATTGCCCGTGATAACACTGCAAAAATTCTAAACACTTTTTTTTGTTATAATTATTTTTCATCCCAAGTCAGCCCGGTTATGAAAAAGCCGGTTTACACTTCAAGTAACTTGCGTTTTGTCTGAATACTTTAATTCAGCGCTGAAGTTATTTGAGCCTCCTTTGAAATTTTTGTAAATTAAGAAAAGAATACGCAGCAAATTTGCAAAAAAAGTAAATAGGGCAGGCCATTTTTTTGACAAGCAATTATTCTAATTTGACATCAATAAGTGTGATTTTAATGCTTTCAAAAACACTGCCTTGCTGATGTTTGCTACCTGCGTTCATACCTTTCTCTTGTTTTCAAATTATGTAGATAGTGAGAACAAAAAATCAAATAGATTAAAAATCTTAAAAAATTCATTTTTTAAACAAATTTTTAATTAAGGTCTTCAGAGGATAAACAACGATTCAAGGTATAAACGAACAACACATTGTCAACATTCAAAAGTTTACAGATTTCTTTTAGTCAGCCATTTCATCATTTACAAAATATAATTTTATGTTCAGGCGGCGACGAGCATTTAGAAAATAATGCCTAATGTCGTCCGGGTTTTTTTTTCGCAATTTCAAAAATTCCAGGCAATTCTTTCTTTTAAAATATGCACATTCGCCGAATTTTCACTGAGCTAATTAATGCAATCACTCAAGATTCGAAACTTATTTTCTGCGACCGTTTCCATATATTTCTAAATGCTCAACATGTTTGTTTAAGAATCTATTCACATTCCAAAGCCGCCCGGGGCCGATCCTGCTCCCCCACCGAATTTCATGGCCAGTTTTTCCAGCACACTTTGCACCTTCTGGTTTCCGGCATACTTTGCAATGTTGTTCGGATCCTTCTGTACGTCCATGAAAGCATTCATCACTTCTGGGTCCTAAAATAATATTCATCGTTAAAGTCAGGTCATCTCTCAAATATTAAACACAGCTAACAAAAGGTTGAAAAAGTGTTAATAAATGCCACACCGAAAAAATGAAGATCAATGATCTTTTATAGTTTACACTTTCTTGGTATAACAAACCTAAATTGAGAAAATTGAATTGTAAATAAATTCAAAACTTTCTTCTCTCAAAAACAAATCACACGACCTACAGCAATGAACATTTAGAAAAAGCAGCGCGATTAACATTAGAAACTTTTTACTGAATTTGGCGACTTAGATGTTTGAAAAAATTGTAAGCCTTTTGCTGTTAAATGTTTTACTTTTGCTGGACTGAAAGCCGTCAATCTTAAAAGCTTAGATTAAAATAACCTGCATAGCTATCATGATTTCTGGGTCGCTAAAAAGATCTTGCAGGTTTCCCGGCATGCCACCCATTCCAGCCCCTCCGGCGTCTGCTCCGGGTGGGAATCCAGCTCCGAAATCTGGCATTCCTCCTCCTGTTGCTCCCGCCGCCGCTGCCTCGCGAGCCGCCTTCTCGTTCTCCTCTTTCGCTTTTCTCAAACGCTCTTGTTTTTCTTTAATCATCCTCTCTTTTGATTGACGTTCAACTGCTAATTTGTGGTCTCTCGATTTGGTAGCCTAGAAGCGATGTTTCCAGAATTATTAGCCTTGTGTATTTTAATTGTTATAAAAACCTTTTTCAATCGGTGTAAATATATCAAATTGCACGTCTTACTTCCGTCGGTCATTAATTTTTCATTTCTCAAGACAATACTTCAAAAACTTTCAATTTTTTCATCAACTTGGTTTAATTTTCAATCGTTTATTTATATCTTGACTCAACGTAACAGCTTAAAAACACTAACATTTGGTTTATTTTCTCTGATCCAATCCTCCAAAACTTCGTTTGAGTCAATTCTCGCACTCTGGCTGAAATCTTTTTGAGCGTCCTCGAAATTCCCGAGCAGCATGTTGGCTCTGCCTCGCCACATAAGCGCCACTGCCGAATCAGGGTTCGACTTCAGCGCACGGTCACAGTCTTTAAGTGCAGCTGAAGGTCGCTTGAGTTTACACAACACGCTGAAACATTTTCAATTCGAATATACCTTAGAAAAAGCTCAAACGACGCAACTTCTATACAGGTGTACATGGAACTAGAGGCCCGGCTAAAGCTGGAGGGTACATGTTTGATATTTTTCGATTTTGTTGTATTGATGCGAGATGAAATAGATAATTTCAAAAACTGAGCTTCACCAAAAATCTTAGTTGTAGCTCCGTTAAATATGAGTGAAAAGTTTGTGAATTTGAAATTTTTCCGCACAGATACTTTTGTACAAACTTTAAGGCGTACTATCTTATGCACGGAGGCTTTTCACAACCTTTTGCCTCGATTAAACCCTTGATATTAGATTAAGTTGTTTTCGAGAACTGTCAAAAAGTTTCAAAAACGGACAAGAAATCAAAACATTGACTTTTCTGAAAGGTTATAACTTTTTGTTAGAAAATTTGCAACTGAGCGCTTATACAGGAGAGCTTATCTCAACCGTTTCTTTTGATTGAACCCAAAATATCAGAATTGGGATGTTAGCTTCCGACAAAAATAAAAAAAATTGCAAAAAATCTAATAATTTGTTATTTCCGAAGGCGTAACTTTTTTAGAATAAAAAATTGTGCGCAGCGGCTCATGAAGACAACTCGTTGATTACATTGAACCCAAAACCTCAAACTTAGAAGGGTAGTTTTCGAGAAAATTAAAAAAAAAATTCTAAAAGGTTTAAAAAAATTGACTTTTCCGAGAGCCAGAACTTGGCCTGTAAAAAACTTTGGTCATATCTGCTTATTCATAGGAGCTTATCAGAACCCAATCTACCAATTGAAACCAAAATCTCAATGTGGGAGGGTAGCTTCCGAGAAAAGTCAAAATGTTTGGTCATAACTTTTCTCATTATAAGACAGGGAGCTTCCTACAAAAAGAGACAAACGTTTTCAGAAATAAATTGGTAATGAATTGAAAATACCTTGCTCTTTTTGCCAAAATTGGCGCCGAACTTGGGTTGCATTTGACACCTTCGGTAAACAGATTTAAGGCCTCCTCCAGTTTCCCTTAAATACAAAAACACAGCCAACAGATGACAGATGGTCGTTAAAAGAACTCGAGAAAATTAAAAAAATCTGATTGAAAATTTATGAAAATACATCAACTTTCGAAATTCGAAGAAAAATTTACATCACTTTACAGCTCTTTGAATTTCAAGAATTGTTTATGAGGTACTTAATTTCTCGAAGTTAACCTATTAAAAGAACCTGGATCAATAGGAATACTCATTCAGCAGTGAATTCATGAGAAAACAAGTCCATTTTGAAACAGAAGTCGATCACGTTTTTCGTGACCTTTGACACTTCGCTATTCTCTAATGGATACACCATTTTTTATTTTTGAATTCTGAAAAAAAATTAATTTTCAAAAAAAATATTCCGGAGCAATTATTTTATAAGGCGCCCCTGATTTCAACTGATATATACCGTCACTTAAAGCAGACATAGCTTGGCTTCTGAGTTCACTGCTTTTGTCCGCCATTTCTTCGGTTACTTCCCCTTCTTCGGCAGGCAGCTCAACCTCTTCATACTCGCCTTCCTCGATCACATAACCCATGTCGTACTCTAAATAAATTTTTCATGAATTTCATCATTTATGCTTTAATTGCAACCTTCAAACAATCAAATATAAATTTCATCAATTTTAAAATTTGTGACCGCATTAAATGTTTACTTGAGTAACAGAAGCATCATTTGACAGATTTCAAATAGCCCTTTTAATTTTCTAGAGTTTTCATGAATTGGACAAGAAAACCATTTTCTGCTGCTGTTGTTGTACCAAAATAAATGCCCATAATGTTTTGGATTCAAAAATGCCTATGAGTAACAAACTTTAATTAAGATACACTAGGGGACAAAATTAAGCGCAAATTCTAGAAAAAATTTTATATTGACCGAGAGCAAATGATCAGAGCTACCATCTGTGAAAGTATTAATATTTGTTCTCAATGACTTACGAATGTAATCCGGGTCTGAAAATGCCAGTTTTCCTCATCTGCACCAAGTTTTGCATCGTAATCAAATTTTTCTTGAATAAGCGGAGTAAAAAATTTGTTCATGCAACATGAAACAATCTCAGCGAGAAAAGGGAAACAATCAAAGTGAAATTTTTACTAAACTCAGACGTTTGTTACTTAGTCACGCGAAGTTAAAAAAAACTTAGTGCAGATGAGGAAAACTGGCAATTTCAGACCCGGATTACATTGGTAAGTCATTGGAAACAAATATTGATACTTTCACAGATGGTAGCTCTGATCATTTGCTCTCCCTCCGTCAATATAAAACTTTTACTGAATTTCGAAGGAAATGTTGTCCAAAATGTACATTGAAAACGCATTTTACAGAGTAAAATCCTGAATTTGCACTCAATTTTGTCCACTAGTAAATAACCCACAAAGCATCAACCTGGAGGTGGTATTTCTGGTTCAACGTCCGGTTTACTTGTTTCCGTTGTTTCGGTTTTATTTGGCTTCGGTGAGTAGCTGGCTGATTCGGAAGCCTGAATGCACAAAATTCGGCAAAATTTAATATTTTTTTATAAATTTGACAAAAAGTAAAAATATGGAATAAATTGAACGAAGTCCTCACCGAAGCATCAGCTCCGTTAGTTTCAGGTTTGGGTGAAATTTTAGCTCCAATACTAAAATAAAATCATGAGTTTCATTTTCTGGTAACTTGAAACTAAACAAAACTACTAAAGAGTAAAAACCTTATTAGGTAGTCTTTGAAAAATTGAAGTTTATCATCGTGGATAAGAGAAGGATTTCCCTTGAGCAATCGAACAAACTGTTCGAGAAGCTCGATGTGAGTTGAATCCATTTCAGGCCTGAAAACAATTACTTAGCTCTTTAATAAAAACGTAGGCGAAGCTGAGCTTGGCACCACTTCCGATAGAAAATAGCATGACTATGATTAAAATCAACATTACTGTGAACATTGATAATGTACTTTCTGACTAACCAAATAAAATAATACGTGTTCTCAAATACTCATAAGCTTTAATTATAATTTGAGTAAGCATTCAAATTGTAAAATCACACAAGTTTTCGCACATTTTTGTGCATCGTCAGGTTTTGAAATTCTACACTTAAATGTTTAAAATGATCAAAGATCCTGAACACTGTCATCCACGTCTGTAACATTCGCCCGGAAGATACATATCGACGGATAACAAAACTAAGTCTTAAGACGACTGGCTAGCGTCTAAACAGAGCTTTGCATGTTTTTCACCGTCTCTACCAAGCCAGTACTTTTCGGTGGTCTTTCTTACATCAGGCTGACAAAAACGTTACTGTTCTCCGGCTTCGACCAGAACGCTCAAATTAACTGAATTACATGCGAAATTAGTGAGCTCATGGCTGGGTCTCTGTATCCCCAGACCACGAGGTCACTCCTAAAAACAGGGCTACTACCTATCATATTACTATTGTTTTTGTTCAGTAGATAAAAATCATCATCTCCATCGAAGATGGATCAACCCTTTCCCCCAACTCCTAGCTTCTCATCCTTATCAAAACGAATCCAGTTGTTAATTAAATTCAATTCAGGACATGACAAGAAGCTAAAAGTTTATATAAAAGGCTAAAAGTTCCAGTCCCGAAACCCTTCCGGATTCTTGAATCCAGTGAATCAAGCTCCTTAACCTCAGGTTCACACTAACTCGGAGGGCTGGCTTTTACCCTTCACCGTTGTTCGCAACGGCCTTGCAACTATTGTAGCAGCACAATAGTTGCGACTCGGAACGTTCTCTGCTATTCTGTAGTTCGTTGTCGTTCTCCAATCTCGATTTTCGTACTGTTCGCAATCGCAGATAAAGTTGTTCTGTTTTTTACTCGCTTTTTTGTTAAAATGGCCGTTTCAGCATTTCTCAGAAATGTGACGTCATCATTCGAATTTTTTGAAAATTTAAAATACTAGAATATTCTAGCCCTCACCGTTTGGCTAAACGTTCCAATAACGTCGCTAATCCTTCGAAATCATCAACTCGGAAGGCTTACTGCTCAAAATTCGAATTCTGCATAAATTGTATTTTGGCCATTCTGGTCGAATGTCACATACTCCCCGGACAGTCCGGTCAATGTCCTCATTGAATCGCGCAATGTTCTAAATGGTTACAGTGTCATCGAACAGAATTTACAAAATGCACGAAATTACTTTTATCTACGTCACATCGACTCACTGCAGAATATAAATGGCATCATACTACATCACTATAGCCTTCAAATTCTTTCATTAATCTGCACATTGAGGATATGACTTAAGATAAAACATATTTTCTGACTTCCAGTGTCAATGTCCCGATTGAAACTTTTTCTCCTAGATTTAAAAGGTGTTGGCTTGCAGGACAGTCCTGCCAACCAACAAGCTAAAATTATCCTACCATGCTCCTTCCCTTCGGAAATCTTGCTTGTTTATTGTCCTGAATATTAAAACCAAGAGACCTTGTGGTTAGAAAGAACAATGCAACAACCTCCCTTCTCAAGAAGTTACTCAAGTTTTTCATGTCACCACAAAGTGATCAGTCTTCCTAAGTAATTAAAAACAATCATGCAGGCTGGAATATTTAAATATACTCTTCCCTCAAGCCTTTCTAAATAAATAATAAGTGAGTGTCTCTAAAGCCACTTCAACTAAAACCAAAATGCAAATTTATAAATGCAACAATTTCCAAACTCAACTAAATGTTTCAGTTTTCAATTACAACTTGGTTGCTTGGTTTCTCACTTGAGTTTTTCACACACATAAAACAATTCTGAATTTTAACGTTTCTTCGTCATCCCTTTGTTCTCTTCTTTTTTCGTCGTTTAGAAGTTCTAAAACTTCTGAATTCTTCTAATTTTCTTTCTTGCTGCCTCTTGTTTTCTCGACCATTCGTCAATGCTCCATTTCCTCTTCCTGTGACACTGACTCCGCACTCTCGGTTTCCGTGTCTTGTAGCACGTCATTGACTATCCTGACGCTGTTGGAAGCCGTCCTCCAACACTTCTGCTCTTCCACCCTCTGTTTACAGCAAGGTAGGGGATCCACGTTTGATTCTCTGTTTCTACAGAAGCTGTTGTGGAGACACAACGTCACGTTTCTCTCCAAATCTTCTTTCAGCATCTCTGCCTTCTCATTTCCACTACGCTCGCTCGTCCTGGAAATTCTTTTCACAGCGGTGGTCACTGCATTCCGATGGGTCACGAAAGCTCGCTTGAAAGCTCCTGCCCCAATGTCCAGCTGATATTCACTGTACACTCTGCCATGTTTCGACATATGCTTTTTCGCATACTCGTACAACCATGCAGTCATGTTAGCTCTGAACCATGGCATCAATCGTTTTCTTGCCCATATCTTCTTCACTTCCATCGGAATGTTTAGAACTTTGCACATTGTCTCAAAAAGATCTAAATCTTTTAGACAATCTAATTTCTGCAATTGTTCTCTCGTCGGTGCCTCCTGTCTATTATTTTCTCTCACATGAGCTTCCAGCCATCGTATCGCCATCATAACTCCCACTATCACTATTGTTATGGGCTGTGATGAATCTGGTAAACCCATGGAGAGCAACTCTCCAGAGTCCCAGATCAACACCAAATTACTACGCTTGGGATACCACCAGGTCTGCAGCAAGCAGTGGCAAGGAAACTCGTCATGTGTCAACATGACGCTCCTCCAATTGCGTTTTCCTGAAGCTTCCAGCAATGGTTCCACTACCATCATCACTCGGTGGATTTCATCATTCTCATCTACTGCATTGTAATCTGTGACAGTTGATCCTCTCTGTTTCTGTTTTTCAAAGTCACTGAAGTTCCCGCTCACATATCCCATGAACTTCTTTCCTAGTATTGACTCCAACTCCTCTTTGGTTCTCTCTGGGACTGCTGAGAACATCTTACATAGTAACTCGTAAGACTTTTCAGACATTCTCGCCAATCTCACGCACTTTGGCACTGAGAAAGCTTGATCCACGATCGTTCTTGTACTCTTCACGTCCACAGCCACGAAATGCACAGGGTATCTGCTCTTGCACATTGGGGCCAACGTTGAACCCACCAAATATCGTGCTCCTGATGGTCTACAATAAGTTTCGCTGTGTCTGATGTTCATCTCCGTTTCGATTGCTTCCCTCCATTTTCCTATATACTTCTGCTCAGTCTGCAGAACTCCTGGGAATACTTCTACGCTGATGGCTGTGACCATCTCATGTTTCTGTTCTAGATTCAATAGTGACTCTAAAGACCCAAACATGCTGTAGAACCCTAGTGCAGTCACTAGATTCACATCGGTTCCTCCATGGCAATCTGCTATCAGTTCCGTTTCCGTTCTTGCTTTCATCACTACATTTCCAAACAATACTGTCAACTGCTTGTGTTGTTTCTCCAGGGTTTTCACACAGTCTAGACTTCCACAAACGTGACCCTCTAGTCCACAGACTTCCGCCAGACAGCTACCAGGTTTGACCCAGTCTTCTGGTCCCCAGCCAGGCAACTCCACTCTATCTTCTCCGTTGCTCTTAGAGGCTGTTATCATCACATTATATATGATGTTGAGGTCACGCAGGTTACAGTCCGCATTCAGTTCCCTCTGTATGTCTTGTGTCGCCCGTAATATTGAGTCAGCGTTGGGACTAGGACACCATGATGGCTTCATCAATTCCCACACTGCCATCAAGCTCGTTCTCAGTAATTCATCTGAGAATCCCAACCCAAATTCCACTCTCTTGTCGGATTTTGGTACTGAAGGTGCAGTCACCTCTTCTTCCAAGACCAATCCCAATTTGGCCTGTGGATTGTTAACGCTCTTAGTCGTCACAATTCTGGACGTCCAGAATCTTAGTAACTCCGCCTGCTCATAATCAAAGAAGCAATCACGTATGTCTTCACTCAGGAAAGGATTGTACGCTATCCCTATGATCCCGGATACATAGCTATATGACTTCTTCTTGATCGGTCCACAGTATTCACTGGATTTCGGCAATGCTCCCATAGATTCTTTAGTGAGCCTCAACTCCTTGTTTGAGAATCTCCTGATCTCGTCTATCTTTTTCATGGGTTCCAATTCTTCAGGTTCTTTCATGTTCACCCTCATCGGTTTACTTTGCTGCATATCCAGCATTGCTAGTAAGAACATGGCTTTCGTTCGCTCATCGCCTTCCTTCAACATTTTAACACAAGTGCTTAATGCAGGTACTGAGATCTGCTCTATCAGGAATCGAATGAAACAGAGAGCGTCTCTCCGCTTTGCACACGCTACTGCTGCTCCCTCCTGGACTATCAGATCCCTCAGATTCGTCATAAGGAAAACTTTTTCCTCCTTTGATCTCTTCCTTTCTTCCGAATCATATTCTTCGCGAGTCAGTCCCATCATGCACCAGGCGAGCCTGAGTTGTAATTCTGTCCTTACGTAAGGTACTGCCACGAGAGCATGTATTCTTGGCGTAGTCCTCATTTCTTCTTCGAAATACCTCAATACTACTGCTTTCCATGGAAGTCTCACTAACTGCTCGATCGTCTCCGCCTCTACGTCAGACGACGCCAAAGTTCCATACGCCTTCTGCTTGAGGGTGGTGCCTTGCAACATCATTTCCAGATAACCCTCCATGGCTTTTTCGTCTTCCAGGGCCATTACATACCCTCTAGCCGAGTTCCGGTATTCCAACATCTCCATGTATCCACCGGTGGGTTCATCTATCGACACTGTCTCCGACACTGTTAGTCGGTTGTATTCCACTGGTGTCAGTTGTCCTGCAACACTCCCTTTTCCATGATTCATGGGAGATGGTTTGAAGTCCCTCATTTTACTCTCTCCACATTGACTGAGTATTTCCATTTCTAAAGTTGCTCTAG